TGGGGGATGTATCATTTTAATCAGAAATTTGCGCGCTACAATCCTGCATTATTAAGAAAGGCTTGGGTTATTTTTTGGGATTTCTGAAAAACTGGTTTTCCAGAAGACTGGATCTTCGAAGAGCCATGGGCCAGTCCCATGATCATATTCGGAATCAGCATCGTCGATAACCTATAACCCACTAGATGTTGATCAAAAAGCTTTTAATCACCTCGAAAGGTTCCCTCATGAGTTATGAGTTTTTCAATTTTTGATGAAGATAATCAAAAATGGGTTATTTCAACTAGTATAGGTTTTCACTCGGTTGTTGCATTTTGTTCTGAAAACTAATATTGCCACGAGATTCAGCATAGTCGATAACCTATGTTTTCATTCATTTCTGAGTCCCAAACCTAACGGCAGAAAAGTGCGAAGGCTTCAGGGAAAACGTCTATAGCTCCTGAACCATGGGTTTTCAAGATGTCACTTAGACCCAGTTTTGTAAAAGACGCTTCACACTATATATGTCCCCAAAACATCACCAGATTCCTACCTGAAAAAAATCCAAGCTAGTTTTCCAAAGATCCTCTGGAAAACCGCCTTCAAAAATTTTTCAGAAAATCGGTTTTGCTTGTTAAAAGATAGCCTCAAGTTTTGGCTATCGAATTTTGAAAACCGCAAGTATCCATTTTTATTTGATGCTGAGTTATTCAAAAACTAGTCACGTGCCTTATCTTTTTTAACAGACAGTAGTCCTGAATTAAGTTGGCGCTTCTATTGTTCGTCTCTTTTCATTCAAATGTATTTGAATTTAATTTATTTAACTTTCGTTTAATATTTTCGAAAAATATTATATTTTTCAGATAATTACGTTGTGATTAATCTCTACCATTCTTGTTATCATTAATTAATCCAATCTTTTCTTTTAAAGTTAGTTCGTGCCATTATGTCATTCTTGTTTTTTGGTACATACAATAGTTAGTTCTAATGTATAAAGTGAAGTCAGTTTTAGTAAATAAGAGACAGGTGTTAGACACTAGAGAAACATTGCACGTGTGTTCATATTAGAGAGGTGTATTTTGCGCAAGGATCGCTTTGTCAGACCTGAGAGTGTTCATAACAAGGAAATGTTCACTAATAGAGGTTTTACTGTATATCACTTTTTTTACATGTGTAAATAGCTTAAAGTGTTCTCTTTGAAACAGAGAATCAACAGAAATCTTACTGTACTTAAAACTATTCAAAATAGTGAGCCACATTTTAATTCAAAATGGCTAGTAATTAGTATGTAATTGATAATTACTCATCATATTTAACATAAATTACAGTAATAAGCATTGTATTCTTTTTAATAAGTTTTTTCCCCATTAAACTCACCAGTTGAAATTGTATATAAAACTTTAAATTTGTCAAAAAGGTATTTTTTATTTGATAGTAATTATTTAATGTTAAAACTTGTCTGAAATTTTTAGAGATTCACTGTTGATATTAATAGAATCTGACTTTTTTTTTTTACATTATGAACAAACACATCTATTGAAAGAATGTAAAAGTTGTTATAAAAAAGAAGTAGATACACACACACACACGTAGGAATACAAGTCATTCAGATGTGCATCGGAGACACATATACATTTAGGATAAAATAGAAAATGGAAAATTAAAAAAAAAACATCACAGTCCATAGAGAACATTGGTAGTTTTCTGAAAAATTGATTCATTTATCATCTTCTTGAGCTTTTACAATTTCATCATAAACCTTTTCAGCGTCTTGATATTCTTTTGATTGTTTAATATTTTCATCATTTGCTACTGACGTCTAAAAGATGAATGAAAAAACGAGATCGTTTTCTTTAGTAAATAAAGTCATCACACTTTAACAGCAAACTCATTTTTTAAAATAGACACTTTTACTATTTAAACAGTAATTTAATAAAACTTACATATAGATTTTGAAATTCTTTCCACGATTTAATAAAACCACTTTTAGTATGCGATATCATGCCTTCGGTCTCTTTTAATACTTCTTCCTACAAATATAATAGATTTAATTTTAAATTGTATAGTTAGTAAACATTTTTGATAAAAATATCTACTTGTTTTTTAATATCATATTGATCTCTTTCATCAGATTTCATTTTTTCAACTTTTTTTCGTTCATTTTCACATTCCTTTTTATATGATAAATATTCTTTCCAACATCTGAAATTGAGAAAGATCGATTCATCAAATCGATTCAATAGATAGAAAAAAGACGTTACCGTTTAGCTACGCCAGTTTTAATTTTTAAATCTTTTAATTTATCAGCCATGAATAAATTTATATCGTTTCTACTGTCTAAAAAAATAAATACGTTGTGACCGTTGTGACTGTTTTAATCAACTTTTATAATTTTTTATTTCAAACTAAATATTTGTTTTATTAACTATTCATAATGATGAGTCAGATAAAAAAGGAAGATAGACTCATCATATGACTCATTCGATTGTAGTCTGACTCACTCATCATGAGTATTCGAGATGTTTTTATTTCAATGTTTATATTGTGAAACTTCGAAAATTCAACTAAAACAACGACTTCACGTTACATTCACATTGAACATGATCTCCTTTTTCTCCCGCATACTAGACAAAAAAAAAACATTTTTTGACTCATCAGAAGTATTATAAAATATTAATTATTTTGTAACTTTAGATAACCAGTTTTCTCTATCCCAATAATATAGAACACTGCCCCTTTATCTGTTAGAATTAATTTTTGCATGAATGATTTAGAGTTATCAAATTGAGAAACAAAACAGAGTATATCTATCTTTTATTTGATCTAAAACACGAATCACATCATTACAACATCGATGTCAATCAAAAGTAAATAAATTATTAAATGAAAATACTGTTTTACTAAGATAAACAAATAAAATCATACACAAAAAATATATATCGAATAAAATATTGCACGTATAAAATTGACGAATGGAGTTTACTATGAAAGAAAATAAAAAATTATTTATGTTTGTGGAAATGACTGTTTAATATCTTTTAATAACATTGTTGCAAGAACAATTCTATCAGAATTGATTGTTATATTTAAAGTTGAATTTGACAAGTTTACTTGTAGACTAATTAATAATAACGCTTTACTTGAAATGGTTTGACCACTAAATCTAAACAAAGAATATAAACACTCTCCATATATTCAAACGTTAATACTCATTTGAAAATATTAGAACCAAAGATTTCACTATGCAAACAGGTAACATTAAGCTTAAATATAGGAGTGGATGGAATAGTTTCAGTTTCTAAGAACTGGTGCAAAAAAACTAGAATATGAACTGCTACCAGTCCTTGTAGAATTGTCGAGAAATTGATCAGAAAAGTTAATAGACTTCTCTCTTTATCACATGCTGGGTCATTCGAAAGAGAATTGTGACTGTTAGCTCCTTATCCGGTGAAGAAAAGGCTTTGTATTATCACCAAAAAGTGTAAAATACACACTGTATTTAAAAGATAAATTATAAAATCTCTGCGAGTAACAGTTTTATCAGTATTGTATTTTGACTTTTCGAACTTTGTTACTTGTCTGTTTACATCTTTTCTCATGGTCGAGATCAAGAGTCTTTCTTCAAGCAACGTTTTGTTGTACTTGTATGTTTTTTTACAGTTTTTATTCTTTAACGCATACTTTACTCTAAAACTATGAAATTATCGACTGTCACCTATCTCTTAAAAAGACAGTTAGACTCTTAGAAGACAGTTGGGATTCTGAAGTCCAGGCTATATGAAAGCTCAACTAGCGTGTACTGCTATTCCACTTTCTTTTGCCTTTCGTTTGAATTTTAATGTTTCACTAACTGCTAAGACTTTTTATCGTGTTGTAATAAGTAACTCGTCCACGGATATGAAACTTAAAGGCTTTTCTCCAACGGATAAAGAGCTGACGGTCACAATTCTCTTGCAGGTGAGTAAACACGTCATAGAAAAGAAGTCAGTTTTTCCAGAAATTAACAATAGCTAACAGTTTTAGAATTGAACTGGATCTTACTTCGATATATAACATTTAAAATAAACTGTATTCCCTCGTAAGTGTAAATTCAAAAGATATTAGCATGTGACAAAATTGCTCTGATTGGAAAAGTGCATAAGAATGAACGTCCGCTCCCAGAAGAGAAATAGATCAAGGTAAGATTTAAAAAATTGATATAATTCTGTTTCTTCTAGGAACATTTTACTAATTCACTGAATATATTTGTCTGCTCTTGAGCGTCATTATCAGATCACTTATTAATACATAATTCATTTGTTCTGTTTTTCTTAACTCATTGATGTAACATTCCTTTATTAGTAAAAACAACGTTTGTTCCCGCATTCGAATTTCTAGACCTGGTAGCCATTGTAAGTGTGACATATCTAACGGGTGCTTCAGAATAAATCGGTCACTTAGTATTTTGCTCATATCTTAGTTGAATTTTAACCCCTAAGCTTTGTTGTTTTCTTAAAAGATGTGCCGTAAAATTCTCTACAAAAACTATATTAAACATTTTTCTATCTACCGTAAAGATAAAAGAATATCCAAGAAATACTGCGAAGCTTCGATCTCGATTACTTTGCAACTCAAAAAACAATTTTTTCAATTTTAGTCCTTCATACTTTGTGAAATAAAAAACAAGATGGACATTTGAAAAGCTCTATCAAGTGTCTATATTCAAAACGTTTCGTAATCATAATCAGTTGTCGAAGAATTTATTTTTCTTTTATCGACTGTCCTCGACATCAACATTTACAAACTGTAGTTCTGGTATAGTTAGAAAAACGTTTATAACTCGATCAAAATCAAACATTTTGAGATCGGGTTTTCTTTATCTTAAAGTAAAATAATTCTTCTGTTATATCCGTACAGAGAAAGTTCAATATTTTCCTTTGTTTTCCCGTGTAACGACGAAAAAGACAACAAAGAAATTTGCCCTTTTTTTGTTAGATTTTAGTACAATCATCTTTTGTGCCAGAAAAACACGTTTAAGCCGACCCTATGATAGACGAAAAGAAAGACAGCCCTTCAGAGCGCCAGAACTTATGTGCATGATTCCACCTTTAATTCAACCAAGATATGAGTAAAATACTAAGTGACCGATTTATTCTGAAGCACCCGTTATATATCTTACGAATATGAGTTTGTTCTCGTTCCTAAGACTTTTTCGTACAAGTGCTTTGATAGAAAAAGAAAGTGTAAACGAGTTTATTATTATTAGAGACATTTATCAAAAATGAAATATTGATTTCATTTTTTTCTCGTGTCTCTAGAAAAATACTACCATCCGTCTAATAATCGAAATATATTTATTATACTATTCATAATGATAGAGTCATAATGGTAGCTGTTACCTGTAAATAGCACTATGACTTGATACCGGTACTGGTATAACATTCGCACATTGAATAATTTTATTTTGTATTGTTGAAAAATTTAATTTTTCCAATGTATCGACACTTAATTTTAATGTTTCACTTATTTCACTCATTCCTTTCAGACGAGCTAAAAGAAAAGGGCTAGAAATATACAAGAAACAGTATATTTCACAGCCTACTTAATTCTTGTAGAAATTCTTGTTCATTTAAAAATCTTTGCTCAATCATTTCTCCAACTTGACAGGGAATTGATAATGAAATCTGTTTTCCATCCACCGTAATATCAAATTGAGCTGATTGAGTTTTATCATTGAAATCAATACCCATTGTAGAAACGAGCGTTGCCCCCGATGATAATACATCGATTTCAGCGAATTCACTTATTTGAACACCCGGACGCTAAACAAAATGCCATACGAAAAACAGGAAAACAACTGTTGAAGAGTGAAAGTATCAATTTTTGATTTACATCTATCACGTGCAGATGATGTGTATCCTTTTGACTGATATTTTCTGTTTGTTAACACACGCAATCAATGATGTTTTATATAGAAATATAAAGTGTATCGAATGTTTCAGGCTGTACAGATCTGACTGAACATTTAAGAAATTAACGTATAAAGTCTTTCTTACGCCAACAAGACGTGATAAAATATTGAAAAGGAAGAGAAAAGAGAAAAAAATGGCAGTTATAGAGTATTATAACAATGGCAATAGTAGAGAAAGAGAACAGTATAACAATGTCAGCCCTAAATTATTATCTGGATAAATTTTCGTTCATCAAACTCGATACTATCATGTAGTAAAAATTTCAATTTTGAGAGTATCTTCAAAAAATGCTTACTGCTTTAAGAAACAAAATATGTTGAATATCTTTTTGTGTTGTATTGGTAAATAGTAATTCAATATTAACCATGTTTGGTCCACGATTAAATTTTGTACGCGGATAACGATACTGAATTTGTAATCCAGAACCAGTCATACGATTTAATAATTCAAACTGACGTGTATACGCAGGTACAGATGGAGCGGACTGCAAATAACACGAATAAAATTAAAATCAAAAGTAAGGAAAGAAAAAATTCTTGCTTACTGATAATGATTCTAAAATATTCAAATCATCCGTTATTTTCGACTGAGTCACTGTTTTCGATGTTGTAGATGCGGTGGCATTTACCGGTCCTGAACCCAAAAATGTTTCCACTGCAAAAAAGAAGTGAATTAAACTTTGTTCGTAAATATTTGTTGCTGACTACTTACAATCGAGATCGAATAAAGATGTTTCTTTCGGTGGAACATATTCATTAATAGCTTGATTATCTGCTTTAGATTGTGTTTTTTGATCAGATGAAGCCTGAGATACTTTTTCACTTGAACCTTTGAGCAACGGAACATTCGACGGTTTCTTTGAAGTTTTCGCTTGCTGCGGCTCTTCTTCAATCTCGCTTGATGCTGATGAATCATCTTCACTTTCATCGTCATCCAATTCTTCATCGCTGCTTTCTGAGCCACTTTCGCTACTTTCAGCTCTTGTTGGATTCTTATTTAACCCTGATTTTTGCTGTTGTTGTCGAGAAGGATCTAATTGTTCATAGTCACTAACATTTGTGACTGTTTTTAAAGTTTGTTGACGAGTTTCAGACTCATCATCATTATCATCATCGTCAGTGTTTTGTTCCTCTTCATTTTCGTCTCCAGATTCGGATAGCGATTCTTCAGATGTACTTGTTGTCGATTCCTCATCACTTGGATCCGGTCCCTCTACAAGAGCATAAATAGATGCAGACATACACGTATGTCGACCAATATTTACTCGACAAGCAAGGACAATCAAACATATGGTTGTTCTTGCGAAGCGTTCTTACCAGTTGATTCATCCTCGGAATAGAACCCTTTTGCTGCAGACGATGTTTTTCCACCAGTTGCTGATGTGCCTTTTGGCGTGCGACCTTTTCCCTTCTGACCAAATGTAGGCGTCGTTTTTTCCGGTAAAATAACTTCAACATTTCTCACTGTTGGGTCTGGTGGTTCAAGAGGAAAATCAGGCAAATCTTTATAGCCATTTGCTTTTTGACCAATTACGTATGATAGTGTACCCAAAGCATATTGGTCATTATCTGCAACAAAGAAGATAGTTGATTATGTAGTTTGATGAGTTTGACTGCATAAAAGGAAATGGTGAGTGAAAATTAATAGTTAAATAAACCACATTGGCTAGGTCACCATTATCCTCAAACATTGAGTTTCTCGTCTATTATAGTATTATACTCAATGAATGATGATTGATAAAACAAAACGATCTTCTCAAGCTTTATAGTGGTATGGATATACAACTTGTCGCTCTTCTTAAACCTTAATCCTCTGAATTACATGGTTCATAAAAGATTGCAAATAGCAATTTATTGAATTCAATCGTAACAACTTCGTACGAGTATTGTATATTCGTAGACATCAGCGATAGACACCTGTTCTTCTCGGATAGATTCTTCTAGTCACTTTGAGACCGAAGATTTACTAATTGTTTACCTCTCATAAGTGATTCTAACGTTGGTGCCGGTTTGGAAACCAGTAAAATTTTCTTTGCATATCTACTGAGATTTGGGCATTTTTCTGATTGTATTAATAAAGCTCTATAAAAAAAAGTGTGATATATATCTTTTTTAATGTCGAGTTTTCTACTTACCGTAGTAGTCGTGCTTTATCTCTGGTATCATAATTTTTATCATATTTAGCCAAATTGAACACATATTGAACAAGTAACTGGGTCTGTTGTGGATTAACTACATACAGTTTTGCAGCCAAATTCAATATTTGTTGTTTAACAATCGTCTCCTTAAAAATAGTTTATGATTAAATTTCAGTCACACGGATGTAAATTTCAAACTTAGCGCATACTTCATTTGTAAAATTTTTCACCATTTTTCTTAAAACATCGGGAGCTAATTTACTGATTCTATCTGAATATTCACCAATTAACCATAGTATAGAAGCACGGGCAGTTGGTACAACAACTTTGTCAACCATACGGACGATATGCTTGATTATTTCACTGTATTGAGAAGGCTAATCAAAATCAAACAAATGAAAACTAGCACTCATTTCTGTGTGTACATTGGACTTACATTGATTTGTAATAATTTTTTAACAACAACAACACTTTCAGCAACAATTGTTTCTGCAATTGCAAAATTAAAAGTTATCTAGTTAAATGATAGAGTCGTTCTAATTACCATCTTTTTTTGACATAAGTGCCACTAGTCCATTTAAACATGCTTCTGTGACTTCTTTAATTGTACTAGCACAACGTCCAATAGCATGTATTGTTTGTGCTCCGAACTCTTTATCCGCACTCAGAACATACGTCTAGAAAAGGTACGAATTTTGGTGAAAAAAAATTACATCTATCTTTATATGTTTACCTGAAATTCCCTTAATATTGTTGATATATTTGTTTCATTAGCTAATACTGTTAGAATTTCTAATTTATAACGTTTTACTTGTCCACTATCATTTGAATGAACATAAAAACTCTTTAAATAAGGTTCGAAGATTTGTTTGTGTTTATCTGCCATTGATGCGATAGATTTTAAGACAATCGTTTGAATTTCACTAAAAGAAAAGAAATTTTAGTTTAGCTAAGACTACTAAGCCATCGAATCACTCTTACCGATAATGTCTCAGTAAACGTATTAGTGCTTTAGCCACAATTTGAACTTCAGTCTTAGGTGCAACATGATAATACAATTGAGCAACAGCCATCACAACCTAGACACACGAAGTAAGTTTAATCATGTAAAATAAAGAAATAGATATACACGTACTGCTGAATTTCTACTTTGTAACAACGGTTTAGTACATCTCAATAATAGTCGATGATCACTATCCATTATGTAAATTTTTCTCTCATCTTCATCGTCAACAGTACTGTGTTGTCGTTGTTTTTCTTTATCATCACCATAAAAATCTTTACGTTCATCTTCATATGTCTGAAATAAAAGTTCAATGATTGTAATTAAGAATGATGCTTGAAGATCGTCAAATAAATGATTGTTTTGGGATACAAAATGAGTTATTTACTAGATTTGGCTCCATAAATTGTGATCGTGCATAACGTGTTAACATGTTTACAACAACTACTTGACCCCATTCATCAATATCAACTAATAAATTACATAATCGTCGATAATTTTGATGAATCAAATCAATACGCTCAGGACAAACATGCTCGAATGCTTGAACAGCACTGCCATTTACGAGCTAGATAAAAAAACGAATATCAAGATCTATGGGAATCGCAAGAAAAATATGACAAACATACAATTGTTTTGTCAGCTAATAATTTTCCAATTATTGTTACTAATTCTTCTTTTAAATCCATATCTAATCTGTTTAAAACCAAAAAAGAAACATAATTAACATAGTTTTAAATTATGAGAGAAAACAAAGTTACGCGTAAAGCTTGGCTATAGCATTAGCTGCTGTTTTTCGAACATAAGGTGACATATCACTAACAGCATCTCTGATGGCTAACATCATTATTGAGACGATTGTTGGCACACGAATACTTGATAAAACACGTAACGCACTTGCGCGAATCAGTTGATTTGGATCCTAGAAAGAAAAGAAAGATATAGAGCATGTTGTTGACAAAACATGTTCTTAAGATTTATAAAAATAACTCTTATTTAAAATACAATGTACCTACTTTTAATCCACGTTGAAATGTGGCTATCGATAACAGAGCAAGATCTTGTTGTTCTTCTGCGTAACGCATTAAATAAACGTAGACAAGTTTTTTAACCTAGATTAGAACATCAATATATCATTGTAAAGATAAAAAAGCATTGTCATTTCTACTAACTTCCATATTTTTTGACACAACGTTTTTAACAACAGCTGGAAATAAATCGGCAGCATCTTTCCCTTTTGCAATCATCTGCACAAACAACAAACTAATCACATAGTATTAATGAATTTTTTATTTAAAAAGAGCTTACACCAATAATCCGTCGCATTGCTTCTAACTTCAAATTGTCTTTATTACTATCTAACATTTGCTTAAGATCTTCATGCCTAAAACAACAAACAACATTTCATTGACGAGCAAATAGATCGAAATAAATACGTACTTTTTATAATCAACCGAAAATATGCTAATAGCGGGCTCTGTTGACGTGTCCTCGGATGACGCTGTATTTGCTGATGATTGATGAGCATTCGTTGAACTACGCTCATTTATACTCACACTTAAATTCGACTGAAAACTACCTGTAGTCATCTACAATAAATAAACGTTAACCATCTGCCTAATGATTTGATCAAAAAAATCTTCTGCCAACAGATATATTAGCTATTCAAACCTAAGCTGTTTATTAATGATGTAACAGACAACAAATATTCAAATTTGAATGTAATAGACGAAAACAGCGAGCAGTTAAGTAAATATTGTCGTAACACCGGCTAAACATGTAAAACTACTTAGAATTGCATTGCTTTGTTCGCAAAGTGTTTAACATGTTACGTAGGGATGAAATAAGAGCAAAAACTCGACCAAAGTCGGTACTGCTGCTGAAAATAGAATCTCATTTCTCTTCTTTCTCTTGACTGAAAAATTTCACAAAAAAAAATGCTGCGTAAATAGCAATATTTATAAAATGTAGAGATGAACATCAGTATTAAGAAAAAACAGATATGTTCACAAATCCTAACTATACAAAAAATAATTTTATAGATAAAGATTGCCTTTTTCATCTAGTTTTAAAGGTTTACGTCGTCGACGTCCTGTATATGATGTTAAAAATGGTTTATTTTTACTAAATTCTTCACTTTGTAATGCATAACATTCCGATTCAAGGTAAAGATCGAATGCTGATGCTAATCGCCATATCTGAAACGCTAATAATCCTAGATGTTGTTGTTGTGGATCAGTAGTCGATGTTGCTGTATTGGATGATAAATCAATTAACAGTGATCGTTCCATTATTTTAATATTTTCATCGTTCAATCTTGTCTGTTCTGATTTCCACATAATTTTAATCACTATTAACGGTTTTATATTTGGATAATTCGGACTAATACAAATTGTTGCAATTAACCACGATTGATCATTCTGTAATTTACATCCATAATAAATTGTTGATTGATTGATTACACCTTCTTCAATAAAAGGTTTAACATGTTCAAGTTTTTGTATATCATCATATTTCATTTCATGCCATGAACGTAAAACACAATTTAATTTCTGTCGTGCTAATATTGCTTCTTGTTCACCTAATAATGGCATTTCAAGACGTTCTAAACTTGTCAACGTACGATCGAGTACAATTCGTGAACGAAAACGTTGTGTTAAACGTTTCATAATATCGGAACAATCGCAAATGAGTTCTTGACGTTCTAACGGTATTATTTGACATTTACATATTTGTTGAACCCAACGATATGGAAGACCCGTTTCATCATTGAATGTATGTGATGTTTTTCTAAAATACAATTAAAACAAAACTTCATTTCATTTTAGAGTACAGTAGCTAAAAATTGGATTTACCCCTGTTCACGAAAAAGAAAATCGTTGACTGGATTAGGTGATGTATCACCTACATCTATATCATCTAATAAATTATGTAACAATGATGATGTTAACATTTTGTTTTGACTAGCTTTTAGGCCAGATAATTTTGATTGTACAGTGACAATATTTAATAATGGATAAAAAATAAACATCATTTCAGCAATATGGTCGACTAGAAGTAAATTAAAGAAACATTTTCTTAATGAAAAAAGTATTTTAAACTATCTTACCTGATAGAGTTAGTGTAATTTTAACACGAACTGGATGTGCTCGCATTAATTCAATTGTATCCACTGTAGATATGTGATTATTTTGTTCTATTTCACATGTTACATGACGACCGTCACACTGTTGATAGGCAAATGTTAAACTATATAAAACATACAACGGATCAGGTAGTTTAGAAATGAGAGGATTATTCACTGTTGACGTTGTGGCAACATCATCAAATGTTGAATCAATATAACGACGAACAGGACGGGTAGATGCGACAACATCTTTGAGTTTTGGACGTAATGAACGTAAACGTTTTCGACGGCGCATAATTTGTTTTTTTAAATCACCTATTTCATTTTGAAATGTTTTGCATTCCTCATTTAAACGTTCACGTTGCATCAATTCCCAATCAAGTTGAAATAAATGTAAACGATGTTGATCATTTCCAATCACATCTTTATTCGTTAATTCAGGTGGTGCTTGTGCATAAAAATCTTCAACACTAACCAGTTCTAGTTGTTGGTCTTTCGACCTAAAACAACAAAGTAAAAAATACAACAATGATGTTGACAAAAAATGAGAAAATATAATTCATTTTCTTTTCTAACTACAACGAAATCCTTATGCTTTGTAGAGAATTTATTTAATTTTCTTTCTTTCTCTTCTGTCGCTTTACAAAATGCTATGGAGATCGCAATCTAGTTAACTTACTTGAATTCTTCACATCGAGCAATTTCTTTGTTAACATGAGATAATTCATAGAGTAAATTTTGTTGTTCAAGCGTTTGTTCATCGAGACGATTTCGATGTTCAGCTGTTATTTCTCTTGCTTGATGAATACGCTGACGTCCTGACCGATTTAATGAACGTAATTTATTACACAACAGCATACCACGTGTATGCAATTCTGCTAATTCAGTTTTATATTTTTCAGGATCTTGCTGATATTGTTTGACTTTAAAAAATATTTCACGTAATTCTTGAATACAACGGCGATGATCATTCAATTCTGTTTGAATTGTAAGATCATCTGCTTGATTATTCCTAGAATCAACTAACATCGAATAAGAATCAACGCTAGTCATCACTTTTTCTCTGTTTATCTAAAAAAAATAATCAGTGATAATACAAAAGCTCTTAGGAATGCTTAATTCATCAAGTTTACAGCCACAATCCAACACTTACAAATAAGTAACATGGATAAAACAGTGATAGTTAGAGACCTAAACAAAATAGACCCTTTCTTAAGAACAATAATTCATAATTAACACTATTGTTGTTTACGAAGTTGGAAAAATAATCAAAGCTGTTGAACTTTTTCTTCTTATTTAATCAAATTCATTAACTAAGCCTTTGATATTTTAACATATCACCATCAGTCGTTAAAACAAAATTAATATATAGATCCACAATCTCTTTATTAATCATTTGTAATATAAGCGTTTTTTCATGTCCAACTCTCGTTTTTTGCAATTTTCACATGAAAGTGTCCATGTAGGTCTCTGCAACTCTATAAACGGTATGCTCGGAAAACAAGGAAAAATGGCCGATGTTCCTTAGTTGAACCAATCGAAAAAGAGAACAGATACACCGAAATTAGTGAAGCAGTTACGTACAAAAATCACTAAGCCAAGTGAAATTTTGCGATAAAATCTAAAGAAATCACTGACATTTCGATAGAGTTTGAATAGAGGGAGCTACTTTACGATATTTATTTGGTTGAACCAAATAGGATTTAGAACAACCGCTCCAGTAGGGTCTGATTTGTGAACATCTGCAATTTATATAATATATCTAGATGTATATCTGGATGTTCAGATATTCTGATATTCAAGTTAGATATTTAGATATTCAGATGTTATAGAAATGGGGAAACGGGAAGGTGGGGGCAACAAGGGAAGAGGAGAGTGAGGCGCTTCCTGATATTCGCCACCGTGAAAGAAAAGAGGAAGATATCTGAATATCTGAACATCTAGATATTATATAAATTGCAGATGTTCACAAATCAGACCGGTCTCGCTCTCATATTAAATCTCATACTTAAGTTACTGCCCATTAATCCAATGAAGAGTGATGAACTTACAAGCACTTTTTTTCATCTCCAGCAATTCCGATAAACTCATTTTCTGAAGATATTTTTCATAGTCGGCGACTTGATGACAAGATCTGTTACTTAATTAAATGGCTTTTCGTTCAATAATTTTATTTATTGAATTTTTGAGGTTTCTCTTCATTTAGTATACAACAACAAATAAAAGTCTAGCGTGTTTCAACATGCACACAAATAGCGTTGTCATTATGTCAAGAATGTTTTACGTTCTTCATTTAAACGTTCACGTTGTATCGATTCCCAATCAAGTTGAAATAAATGTAAACGATGTTGATCATTTCCAATCACATCTTTATTCGGTAATTCAGGTGGTGCTTGTGCATAAAAACCTTCAACACTAATCAGTTCTAGTTGTTGATCTTTCGACCTAAAACAACAAAGTAAAAAATACAACAATGATGTTGACAAAAAATGAGAAAATATAATTCATTTTCTTTTCTAACGACAACGAAATCCTTATGCCACAAATATCGTTGTGATTATTTTAAACGTACGAAAATGACAACTGAGTATGAGGCGCAATTGTCTCTAAATGATATTAAACAAAAAGCGAAATTGTCTTTAGTTATGATAGAAACACACTATGGACTGATGGTTTTTCATAAAAATCTCTCACACACACTTTGATATATTAGAAAATGTAATGGGCAAGGATTTAATGCAGAATAGATTAATTAATGCGGCTGTTTTGAAACCTTTCATTTGGATATTTCGACCTGTTTATTCGGTCATTTTCAACATACTAACAACAAAAAACAGCAACATAACCTATATATGGCTCTTTGTTTTCTCTGACATGGATGGAAACATGTGATACATTCCAAAGATCGAAAGAAGAAAAACACAGAAAAGCAAGACCCCTATTTTTATAATCTCAAACGTTTGAGATAAAAAACCTTGA